CTGTTCAATTAAGTGGATAAATGGGCTGGGTGCTGGCGCAAAGTGGATAGGGGTGGAGTTGCTCTTACAGCTAATTAATCCATGTGACGTTTGTATTATTTCAGGCGAGAGTTGATCGATGTCTTGTCAACTAAGCAAGTCGTAGCGGCTTAGTTGATGCTGGGACTGTGGTTTAAGTTACCTCGATCAACATTGCATCTTAAATAGAATAAAAGGGATAATCTTCTTGCCCGTAGGTGTGGATCGTTTCCTTTGTTTTAATTAAGATGGCATAGTATGGGTTTTATTTCACAGGAGTTTGTGAAAACTTCATCTTGCCCATAGGTGTTGAAGTTTGTTATGAAGGTAACTCTTGTGACATATAATTCAATACTAGGAACTAATTAATTTACTTGCCTATAGGTGTAAATTAATCTAGTTTCATGAAGTTTATTGGGGATAAAGTTCCATGCCATCAATTACAAAATCCCACTACGAGCCCCATAATAGGTTGTGGTTTTAAGGCATGAAAATCGGTTGCATCATGACGTATTTTGTGTCTTTTCATGAGACTTGTTGATGCAAAGTATTGGACCCATGAAGGTTAATCAAGGATTGCTAAGGTACGCATTCTTTAAGTCTTATGCTTGCAAATCTTTTCAATTTGAACTATGATGTCATTTTAGAGGATGAAATTTGACTACTAGAGTTTTATTTGGACATCGAAATTGAAATGATATGAAATTGAATTGTTATGGATGTATAAATTCATGATAGAAGCACATAATTGTTTTTGGCAGATTGCGTGTCTTGATTTAAATCGGGTGAATGACACGTCCAATGGTCACAAAATGACCTGAATTTTTGATATGTTTAACATATATAAGTCTACTATGTGTTTGCAAATTTTCGTAAATTTTCCATGTAGTGTAATTATGGTAAATTTACTAGAAACCCATGCTTGTACAGACAGTTTTGCTGGCAGATTGTTTTTGTCTTTTGAGACGTCACTTTAGACAATTATTTTGACCCTAAAACAGCTCTATATTTTTATTTTATGAAGATTAGTATGTCTATTTTGACCTGTAAAATTTTGGTAGCAATTAAGCTTATAAATTAAGTATGATAAATTCTAAAGTAAGTGTAATTCATTGCTGAAATTCTGTTTGATAACTTTATGTTGGTTGTGATGTCTATTATTAATTATATCTAAAATATGAAGCAATTTTGTTTAGGTACATCCTTGAAAGAATATATGAATGAGTGTTTGCCCAAGTGGGAGAATTAGTGAAAGAAAATTGGGCTTCACACTCATTAACTTATTTGCAGTAAGTGTATAAACTCTAAAAGTTTAGTGGGAGTTGTTCTAAAATTTTGAGCATTAAGTGGACTTGCATAAAGTGTTATTCTATCTTCCATGAATATGTGTTTTGGTTGATGAAATTAGAATTTGCCATGACTCGAATTACAATAATACGTTTAAGTTTTAGAATGAGTACTTGGTGTATGTGTATATTTTTACTTGCAATCATTTGGATGCCTTGATTGATTATTTGTTAATCTTTAGAAAGAATTTTGGGGCTCATGGGGACTTATGTAAGATCCCACATCGCCCAGGGGAGTGATCCTTATATGTATATTCTCATCCCTACCTAGCACGAGGCCTTTTGGGAGCTCACTAGCTTCGGGTTCCGTAGGAACTCCGAAGTTAAGTGAGTTCGCGAGAAAGCAATCCCAGGATGGGTGACCCACTGGGAAGTTCTCGTGTGAGTTCCCAGAAACAAAACCGTGAGGGCGTGGTCGGGGCCCAAAGCGAACAATATCGTGCTACGGTACAGTCGAGCCCGGGATATGGCGAGGGCCCGGGCCGGGATGTGACAATTTAGTATCAGAGCCTAACCCTGGCCGTGGTGCTCCGACGAGGACGTCGGGCCCCTAAAGGGGGTGGATTGTAAGATCCCACATCGTCCAGGGGAGTGATCCTTATATGTATATTCTCATCCCTACCTAGCACGAGGCCTTTTGGGAGCTCACTGGCTTCGGGTTCCGCAAGAACTCCGAAGTTAAGCGAGTTCGCAAGAAAGCAATCCCAGGATGGGTGACCCACTAGGAAGTTCTCGTGTGAGTTTCCAGAAACAAACTGTAAGGGCGTGGTCGGGGCCCAAAGCGGAATATCGTGCTACGGTGGAGTTAAGCCCAAGATGTGGTGGGAACCCAGGCCGGGATGTGACAATTTAGCACAAATATGGAATTATTAATGCAAATAAGATGGTTGTGGGATGCATGATTTTGTATAAATAGCGGTGAATGTCGTAGTTTTACCTTTCATTGAGATTATGCTATTTAAGGTGTTAAGGAAAGGTTAAAGAAAGACAATTTTGTAGTGATATGCATTCATTGGCTAAGTAAGGGTGTTCCCACAAGCATATTTCAAAATGTATGATTTAAGTATGGATTTGCAAATTAAGTGACGATGTTGCAGATCAGTGGGAGCTTGAGTTTCATGTTAGTAATGCCTTACCTTTGCAGATGACCTATATGGTATGTATGATTTTTTGAATCCATGTATTCAATTTAATCTCCGATTGGATTCATTGAGTAACATGTTTATGTGTTGGTCAATTATCAAATGACGATATATCTTATATCCAGTTAAGCAAATTGCATTTTAAATCATACAGGAATGGTTAATCTTCTTGCTCGTAAGTGTGGATTAATTCTTTTGGTTCGACTTAAAATGGCATGACATGATTTATATGTTGTATTAGTTGTGAAGGTTTTTTCATCTTGCTCATAAGTGTTGAAAATTTTCTCACGAAAGTAACTGATATGGTATACGAATCAGTGTCAAAAAGATGTTAATTCATCTTGATCGTAGGTGTGGAATTAATTATGTTTTATGAAGTTTTGTTTGCAACTGCAGTAGAAGTTTGCATTAAAGAGGACCTGAGATGATAAAAGTTGAGACACATTCAGGTAGTTAAAGTTCATCTCTGCAATCATAATTTGACGGTGTTTCATGTGGATGAGGATTTTAGCATGTGTGATTATGAAGGTTTTGGGTTGTGTCAACCTTACAACCTTGTTAGTTCCATGTTGAAAGACTTATTTGACAGAAACTTGTATCAAGGATAGGATGTTATCACAACTATATGGCCATTAAAGTGACATTAATTTCGAATTTCAAGTATAAACATAAATATTATACGTGTAGACCAGTGGGAGAATGTTGGATTTATTCCGATGTAAATCAACCTTAAATGGTCTACAACATATAATAGGAATGTAATATTGGAGATTAATGTAGATATTGTGATTTGATTTCCTAAAGATATCAATCTTTTATTAGGTGTCTTGTAATACAAGTAAGATTGATGGAGTCCTTGACTTTATGTGATTATGATACATAATTGATAGGCTAAAAAAGTTGGATTTGGGATTCCTTTATGGACGGAACCTTAATACCTTAGCCAGTATAAATACTAAAGTCCCTGCAAACCCTTGATACATAACAAACGCTTCCCATAAAGTAGTTATATCTGGCTAGGTGCTTTGTAGAAGACTTTGGTGTCGCATCCTACATCATCTCCACTTGGTATTCAATGGCTATTGCTTCACGATCAGGTCAGTCAACTCCTTGTTTGTGTTTTAATTATATAACCACATAAAGTTTACAGTGGAGTCTATGGAAGCAGGAGGTGGAGGTCCAAGAAGTAGGTGGTAGAGAGTCTAGAGTTAGGCCCCTTGTGATTGCTAGGATTAGTTTGAGTTTTTAGCCAGTTAAAAAGAAGCAAAAAGCTATATAAATAGGGAGTCAATTCTCTTGAGAATCAACGATAATAGAAATGTCAGACAAAAAGCTTTATAGTTTCTGAAGGCTAGTGAAGGAGAAAGAGTGCTAGGAGTTGAAGTAATCCTTTATTTGGTTAGACTTCTCATTCCTTTTATTTGATACATCTTTCTGATAATTTTAGTGGGTTTTGAAGAGGTTGGTTAATCAATAGTCAATCTCTTTCAAGGTGAAATTTTGAAACATGAAACTTTTGAACTACTCATCTAAGTCAGTAAACAAATTTTGGTCTTGGAAACAAGTTCTTATTGTAATAATAATATATTAATGGTGTGTTTGTACTAATATGCAATATTAATTTTGCATAACAAATTTACACCATACAAAAACTTTTAGTTTTAAAACTATTTTTCTAGAGAATAGAAGCATGTTTTGTTTGGTTATCATTATACATACTTATCAAAGTATGTATTCTACACAGTCTATTTACAATACATGAGTTGTATTTTAAATTGTGTGCTTAAATAATGATGGTTTATACTTTAAATAGGAACTCACGAGCTGGACCAAGATACTTGATTAGTTTGGCAGTGGCGTGGACTTACGTTGTAGCTATGGAAATGAGTAGGGGGTTCTTGGGAAACCTTATAACTATTTGTCCATATATTCTGATTATTATATGTTAATTTATTGATATTGATCTGCTTGGTTGGATATAAACTGTTTGCTTATATGACTTATTGGATGTATTGACATATATGATTTTCATTCATTTTGTTATATTTCTCTTGAATTAAGAATCTTATGACGGAAAAAGGGAAATGGAAATAAAAAGAACAAGGAAGACTTTTGTGTAGTTGAGCCTAATTCTTGTCAGGTACCAAGTCTTAGGCCAACCCCAGAGTGCACAATAATTTAAGGGTAATATGGGATTGGCAAAAGGGAATTAGGCAAGAGTATTAACAAAAGGGAAATATGGTGTTTGGGTTTAGGTTAATGGGTTTGAAGAGAGGAATTTTGTGCATTCATACATGTCATTTTTCTAATGTGTTTTAACTACGTAAATATAATATGCTCATGGTTATATGTATTAAGGTGTAATGTCCCAACTGAGCTTTATGCTCACCCTAATTAAATTTGCACAGGTTCAGAACCAAAGAATTAAGTCTTGTGCTAGAGATGATACTTACAGTATGATATGTCCAGTGGCGAAGCTACATGAGGGTAAGGAATGGCGGCCGCCCCTCCTCTTGTCGGAAACACGCCTAAGAGAGTTGGTTCAACCCCTCTGCTCTTGTCCGAAATGAGAATTCTTGCTCCGATGATCTGGTTTCTATTGCTGCGCACAGCTTTTTTTGATTTTGAAGAACGAAATCTGGAAAAATAAAAATGCAGTACTTGTGAAGAAGATGAAGGCTTATGAGTTCGATATTCCCTACACAAAATGGCGTCATTTGACAAAAAAAAAAATTTATTTCATTAAGGACACATGTCAACACCTGGCAGAAATGATTTATTTCATCTGAATATTATATTCAAAATTAGGCCTTGAAAGATTCTATAAATACAACCATTTCAGGGGACCAATTCACATATACATTTCTCTACTCCCAAATTGGAAGGGAATTCCCCAAATCCTTGAAGCTATGAAACTCTAAAGCTTTCAAGCATCCAACCTCGCAAAATTCTCAAGACTCCCGAAGGATCAAGAAAGCTCTCTTCGTTCCTCATCAAATCCTTGAAGAAATCCACACAACTGTTCATCAAGATCAAGCCCCGAGGGCCCTTGAAGATTCGTTCATCCTCGTTCATCAAGATCAAGCCCAAAAGCCCTTGAAGATTCGTACATCCTCGTTCATCCTAAGATCAAGGCCCGACGGCCCTTTGGATCAACAACATCAACAAATTCGCACCACTGGTCATCCCTAGATCAAGCCCCAACGGCCCTTTGCACATACCTATCTTTCTCTCTCTCTCTCTAATAACTTTAAAAGTTTTGTTCGCCGAGTAGGACTCGTCAACTATCTTTCACGCAAGGTAATAACCCATTGACTCAGGTACCAATCGCCTTCATGCAAGGTGTGTGATTGTAATGCTTATTCCATTGCGGCGCTCACTTCTTTGTACCATATGTAGTTTCAGTATATTCATTCATCGAACATACCCTATTCATCGGCAATCAAATTGTATCCAAGTTATAGCGCGAACATGCTCCAGTTCCTTAAACAGTATGAAGAATTTTGATCATGAGCTGCACTTTTACATTGTGCATGAACACTTGATTGTGATTTAAATGTGAGAATAACAAGATTTTAATGAAGCTGACACTACGTGGGAATGATATTTTAGTAAATTGAGTTCTCATTCCTTCTCATTCTCTCATTCTGTAGGTTTTTAAACTCTGCTACTTTTACAATACGCAGCTGACTCTGGAATTCGGGTAATAAATTTCTCTTCCCTGTGTACTATTTTGGAAAAATTATTAATGGTTTATTGTTCTTGAGCTGTTAATTGGTCTTGGTTCTTGCTTTCAAATATTGTTTTAGATAATATCAGCATAATCCTAATTAGCTTTGAAATGTATGTGTGTGCATGTTGTGTTCTTCAGATTTTTAGTGGTGGTTCCGGTAGTGTTTTCATGTAGAAGACTAGAATATGCAGAGTTTATGATGGCAGTGATTTTGAATTCGTAGCTAGGTTGGCTACTTTGATAATGTAAAACTAAAGATGCGTTTGCATTTACAGTTGAAAAAAAAAAAAAAAAAAACAAAAAAAACAAAAAATGAGCCTAGCTCCATTGTTTTTCTGTTCTAAAGAACAACGGTGAAAAGAGTTTTTTGGTGTTCCTAATGACTTGGAGATTGTCTGGCAATGAATTTGTCCATGATGACTCTTAACGCCTTCTTTCTAATGCTATCTTTGCATGTCACTTTGGTAGTAAATCTTCTATGAAAATTATTTTGTACTTTTCCCTTTTAGGTTTAGGTATTATCCACTTTTGATGCTTTGGACAAATAGTAAACACGATTATGATGAAATTTAAAACTTCAACCAATAAACTGTGACACTCAGAGCAAGATTCACGTTATCATTTGGGCATCTTTGTTTCAACTATTTCGTGTTCGAAGAGATTTGAATTCTTTTTCAGGTTTTCTTAGACCTTAATTATAGCTAAGCTGGAATTGGCATATGTCATTACTCAAATGAAAGACTATTATCGTGACCCAGCACAAAAATAAGATGAGGACAGCATGACAGCATTGCAACATTAGCTTAATTATAGCTAAGCTGGAGTTTAAGTTTTGGACGTTATCTTTTGTGTTTTTTATGCTGATTCATTCCAACTGTGCGCAGGTATCTTTTTCCACCTTGTGCCTTTTGAACCTGAGTGAAATTATGTTTGCTTTCCTTATGATTTTTTTGTTTTCTTTCCGCAGTGGAGGATTAGAGCTTCTATACAACTCTGTAAAGATTCATAATGTCAACGTTGAAATGCAAAACGGAGCAGAAAAGGTGAACTTCAGCTTTTGTTAAGGCTAACAAGAATAAGTAAAAACCTGAAGCGGATTTGTCATTTCAGCGCTTTTATTTGTTCCTATTAGTCAACACGATTTTCGTTTTCTTCTTCTCAGCTAACCATGAAGGATTTGCTCTCCTGGATCCGTACCCATATGATCAAGGAGAGGCCTGAAATGTTTATGAAAGGCGATACTGTGTAAGATAAAATCTGCATCAGATATAATTTTAAACTGAACGTGTTCCTCAGTTGCTTAGATAATTTTATAATAAATATGCTGTTAATGGTTTTGATAGGAAAACAAATATTGAAACATGGGTATAATACTGTTGCTATATAACATGAAGCTTGGGTTCTCTTGCAGAAGACCCGGTGTTCTAGCCCTTGTGAACGATTGCGACTGGGAGCTGAGCGGGCAACTTGATACAACGCTAAAGGAGAAGGATGTGGTTGTTTTCATTTCAACCTTGCACGGTGGATAGTACGCGGCTCATTGTAATAACTTTAGGAAATGAACCAATTGTTTGTATCGGGACTGTAAGATGTTGACGTTATTTGATGTACGTATGTGAACATGACTACTTTCCCATGTAGTGGTTGGCTATTGTATGAGATTTATGTACATGTATCTAGGAGTAGTTAGATATTGATGCAAATAAAACCTGTAAATTGCTTGTGATTGTTATTTGGATATAGGATAATGGCAAATGGGTTGGATTGTTATTTCGATATAGGATGATGGGGCTTGTTTGATAATCATTTCGCTTTTTAGAGCGAGAAGTGCATAATGAGATTTATAAAAATGCTAATAATAGTAAATTGTTCAGTGTCACATCCCGGCCCTGGGCGGATCACTTCCCAGGCCTGCTCTACCACCGTAGCACGATATTGTCCGTTTTGGGCTTACCATTCTCTCGCGGTTTTGTTTTTGGGAACTCACGAGCAACTTCCCAGTGGGTCACCCATCATGGGATTGCTCTAGCCCCCTTCTCACTTAACTTCGGAGTTCTTACGAAACCCGAAGCTAGTGAACTCCCAAAAGGTCTCATGCTAGGTATAGATGGGAATATACATTTAAGGATTACTCCCCTGGGCGATGTGGGATGTCATAATCCACCCCGCTTAGGGGCCCGACGTCCTTGTCGGCATAGACGCGGTCAAGGTTAGGCTCTGATACCAATTGTCACATCCCTGCCTAGGGCGGACCACTTCCCGGGCCCGCTCCACCACCGTAGCATGATATTGTCCGCTTTGGGCTTACCATTCCCTCACGGTTTTATTTTTGGGAACTCACGAGCAACTTCCCAGTGGGTCACCCATCATGGGATTGCTCTAGCCCCTTTCTCGCTTAACTTCGGAGTTCCCATGGAATCCGAAGCCAGTGAGCCCCCAAAAGGTCTCATGTTAGGTAGGGATGGGAATATATATTTAAAGATTACTCCTCTGGGTGATGTGGGATGTCACATTCAGGATGTCACGTTATCAGCAAGACTCAATATAGTCAGAAATCGTCCCTAAATTGAAGTTAGTCATGCATCAATTTGGCATCAGAGCAAGGTTCAAGTCATACCAAAACATTCAGATAAGACCCTTAAATAATATACGTAGAAATTGTTTGAATTTTGGGTATAAAACGGGAACATAAGGGCCTAATGACTTTAATCAATTAATTTAATTCGCTTATTTTAAGGGAATTTTAATGAAACACTTTTGGTATTGTTCACTTTTAACGTAAAACCACATTTTTACCTTTCCTGATAATATTTACTTACCCATTTATTTGTCATTTTTCATTAAAATTAAAGTTTATTTTTGACTTTTCGTTAATTTTCCTTTATTTTTTTAATTTGGTATTATTTATGCTTGGTTATGAATATTCCAGTTTCACAAAAAAAAAAAAAATATATATATATATATATGTCACATCCCCGCCCGGGACAGATCACTTCCCGGGCCCGCTCCACCACCGTAGCACGATATTGTCCGCTTTGGGCTTACCATTCCCTCACGGTTTTGTTTTTGGGAACTCACGAGCAACTTCCCAGTGGGTCACCCAAAGGGGTTAGAGCATGAGAAGTCTAAGTTGAAGATGTATCATGGGAGTTCAAAAGAGATGGCTAATTGCCTTCAGCTTGCGGCATACCAAATGCAGGCTAATGTTTCTAGTGTTCATTTGGAAGGCTAGTCGACTGTGGTCAACCTTTTGCTTTTCCTAGGCAATGCATGCCACTTGGCTGTTTGCTTAGCTTGACCCTCGCTTCCCTTTTCTTGGCGAAGCGTGATCTTTTGTTGTATCTTTCTTTTTGAGGGGCTAGTTATTCTCTCAAACAATTGGCATGAGGCCCTATTCGTTTTGTCTTAGTTTTGTTTCTCTGCTTGCTTTGGCTTTGAACACTAATGTTGAACTTGGCATGACGTTTGAGATATTTTCTCTTGGAATAACATTGGTACTTACTTTCCATTTGTGGGGATTTGTTGAGTAAAATCCTATCAGGCTTTGAGATACATGCTTCAGCTTTTGCTTGTTTCTAATGACTGATTCTGGCACTTTATGTTCTGTTGGTGAGTTTCCTTAGGGAAGGTAAGAACGCTTAGGCCAATTTCCCTAGGGAAACAGAGCGCGCTAGGAAGCTTGACTTGCTCAGCACTGATTTGCATTGGTAAGCTTAGCATTGATTTGCATCAATAGGCTTAGGTTTAGCATTGATTTGCATTGGTAAGCTTAGCATTGATTTGCATCAATAGGCTTAGATTTAGCATTGATTTGCATTGATAGGCATCAATAGGCTTAGGCTTAGCATTGATTTGTATCGATAGGCTTCGATAGGCCTAGGCTTAGCATTGATTTACATTGATAAGCTTAGCATGTTGCATGAGTATAAAAAGCTTTATTTCCTTGACTCAATGGTTTTGCATGGCGTGTTAGTTTGGCATATTGCATGAGCATTAAACCATTGAGCAGCTTTCTTTGCATTGATAGGCTTTGGCATGTTGCATAAGTATAGTTTTGAAAAAGCTTTATTTGCTTGACTCAATGGTTTTGCGTGGTGTGTTGGCTTGGCATATTGCATGAGCATTGAACCATTAAGCAACTTGCTTTGCATTGATAGGCTTTGGCATGTTGCATAAGTATAACTTTGAAAAAGCTTTATTTGCTTGACTGAATGGTTTTGCATGGCGTGTTAGCTTGGCATATTGCATAAGCAATTAAGCATTGAGCAGCTTGCTTTACATTTATAGGCTTTGACATGGCTTTTATTATAGCATTAGCATGTTTTGCCCCTTAGAGGGGGCTTGCTTGGCGTGGGCTTTTATTATGGCCTTGGCATGATTATTGATATAGCTTGTTTAGAAGAAATCCTTCTAGTTACTCTTGCCATTGTAAAGAAACGAATGTACCAAATATTTTGACAAAATGCTTATTCATTTCATTAAAATTTGTGGTACATCATCGCATAGCTTTACAAGGCTTCATAGAGTAAGCAAAATGATCATTGCATAAAAGGAGTTTGTTCTTCTAAAATAGGCATGAGTATTTTAGCAGTAATGGCTTTAGCCACTTTGCATTGACAGGTTCCATTGGCATACCTTCCTTGACCAAAGTCAAGTAGTAGTAACTGCTTCGATAAAAGGTCCTTCCTAGGTGAGGCAAACTTTGAAGGTTCAGAGATCTGCCTCCGTATGTGCTCGGTTGTCCTGAAGATGAGATCTTTTTCCGTAAAGTTGCGTGGCTTAACTGCACGATTGTAAGCTTTGGTAACCTGTTGGTGGTATAGAGCTGCTTCCATTCTTCTTTCCTTGAGTGACTCGAGATCTCTCCACCTCCATTTTGCACAGGCTGTGGTATTCTTTAGAGACGTACGCTAGACTCACAGAACATCTGGGAGATACGTGCTCTAGCCCCCACAGTAATTGTGCACATTATCACTTAGGATCTTCAGTAGTGCCTTATTTGTTGCTTTGGCTTGATCATTTTCCTAGGGGTAGTATGGCATAAATTGGCAATGCTTGATCTTGTAACCATTGAGTGTGATACCTACCTGTTTGTTTTCCCTGATGGAGTTGGGTACTACACCTCATGTTGCTTTCCGGAGAGGGATTGCTTCCATCTACTTCGTGAAGTACTCAGTGGTAACTAGGATCCATATGTTGCCTTTGGAAACTAGGTTGATTGTTCTGGTCAAGTCAAGCCCCCAAGTATGGAATGGCCATAGGGTGAACATGTCTTAGAGTAGTGTTGAAGGCTTGTGGATTAAGTTTCCAAGGACTTGACATGCATGGCATCACTTGACCATGTTGTCAATGTCTTTCCTCATGGTAGGACAATAGTGCCCTAGACTCAGCAACTGCTTGCGTAACTTCTTCATTCTTCGATGCTCTTCCAGTAGGCTAACTAATTCTCTTTAACCTTTTCCACCAACAGTGGATCCATCTTACATGCATTTTGGCACAAGCATGATTTTCTACAGAGATCCGTCCTTGGCAGCAGGTACAGGCATGTCTTTAGTTTCCTTGGGAACTTCACTTGTGTAGCATCCAGTGCCTCTATATTTAAGGCTTTCCCACACAATATGGTTAGGCCACTTAACCCTTCATAAACAGTAAACTATGGTATTAACCAAGGCTTTGCTGGTGAAGGCGTCGTTGATCTGTCCTTCTAGGTACAATGGTTTTCGATGATCAAGGAAAACCACTTCCATATCTTCATCAATGAAAATGATGGCATTGTTGTTCTCAAAGAAATCCCTCTGTGGCTAAGTAGCATAGCATTGAAGGTCATAACCCTTGGATACATGCATGAAAGCTTCACCAACAATAGTCCTTGCTTCTGGGCCATATTTAAGCTGGTCAAAAAGGGATTTGAACTTTAGGTTTTCTTGGAAAACTTGTGATGCAGTAGGCCTTTGCCCTTGGGAAAGGTAATGCTCAGCTGCATCGACTTCCATGTCGGGAAGGTTGTATAAAGTCACAGCTAAATAATTGCTCTCCTAAGTTTCTTTTTGTTGTATCATTCAAGCATATCGATGGTGAAGACCTCGTCATCTAGGCTTGGGGCAAAATCTATGAGATTTGCATCCTTATCTCATCATCCCTTGACTTGAGGCCATGACATATCATAGCTCTACGGCTTGGATTATTTACACCTGTAAGCCTTCTCCATGTTCCCGAAAGGTTCCCAAATGGCTTCCGGTAGCTTGGGATCGTTGATCCATGGATAATAGACATCATCTTCTCTGAAGCATGTGATGACTACTACTACCTCTTTCCCTCGGCGTCTCAACAAAGGGTTAGTGTCTATGGCTTGTGTCTTATATGGTAGCTATAGCGTCCCTTCGCAAATTTTTGCATGGAGAATTTTTTGCAAAGTTTACCATACAATAGAGGGATGAAAACATACTGATGGTAGTGACAGTACCTAGGATTCCTTCTATCTTCCCTGGAAGGGGTTTTGTACAACCGAGGCAGCTTGATGGCCCCATCGGCGAGCATGGTATTGAGGATGACTTGGAATTCCTCATCGTTGCATTCTAGTGGAGGATAGGTTTCTCTATCGCTCTCATTTTCCTTCCTTTTTTGTGGGTTGTAGTCAGATCTGTCATCCATCACTAGGACATGATGAGCTTCATTCTTGTCAATTTTCTATGATTTCCCTATGGAAGGCTTGACTAACAAG